TTTCTCTTACTTTTTAAAAGGATCGAAGGTGAGTTGTTTTGCATCTGTCGCTCCAGTTGTGAGTTCGATCAACTTCCTTGGTGTAAGCAATGAAGTAGTTAGAAAGGCATCCAAGGGGAGTTGATACAGCGCCTGACCGGATACTAACAGTAAGCGATGTCCAACCCAATCGGAAGTCATAGTATCCACTCGTGAAATATCACCACCAATTGAAACCTGTAGTAGGAATTGAATTACGCATAAAAACGAGGTCCAGCATTATTGACAATAATGAATCGAGAGCTAATGGGAGATCTCTTCCTCCTTGTTTTAAGTTATGGTGATGAATTGCGCTTCAATCGGTCCGTAGCAACATTATTAAAAATCAAACAATGTGAACATCAAATTTGCTAAAAATCATGATTGCACGGTCAAAAAAGCCTAGGCGGTACTTAGATCACTTCCATCAATGCTTATGCACGGTTATTTCAAGCGTAAAATAGCCCATGTTTTGGATGCGGTACAGATACATATTCAAGATTATGCGTACGCGTCAAATGACTACAGGCGTTTCTATTATTACATTTTTAGGCGTTCATAGAGTTTTACGATTTTACCTTAATCCATTACACCTACGCAAAAAAGCAGCAGATTTTCTCTTGCATTTCAGCCATTTTGAAGGATGGAAGCTTCTTACCGCTTTGATTGAAGATAAATCAAAGATTTTCCAATACTTTTTGTTCAGGACATGACAAAAGTCCATATTCTTTGATTGATTTCCTCCTTGCACAATACGTGCTTTTATCTCACAGAGAAGGAGGTTCCATTAAAAGCAATGAAGCAAACGCAAAGTCATATTGGGATTTAGATATAGAGGTTTTCTCGCTATCGTCCACTAGGTTTGCTATTGTGTTTTCTTCCCCTTGATGAGAATATCGCTCAAAATTTTATTCCGTAGCCAATACCTTATGCACAACGTTTCCAATGTCACTTGTGTCAATTTGCACAAGCACAGGTTGCAATGAATCATGTTCCTTTCTCACGGCAAATAGGTCGTTACCTATGAAGGCGATGGCCTGATACTCCATCTGGAAAAAAAAACAATGCTTACTAGCAAGGCAAACACAATCTTTTAAAAGATGGTATTCAGAGCAGCGAGCATTATAGTGGTTGTGAACTGTGCTGCAATAACTATTACTAATAATACTAAATAATAATAATAATAATACAACTAATAATACTATTTCTGAATTAAATATAAAATCAATTCTTGAATATGAATAGGTAGAATATATGAACTGATAAAAAAATTTGGCGAACTGAAAGTTAGCCATTGTGATCTTCAATTGGTCAAAATAATCTGGGGTGAACTGGGTATCTGCAAAGTACACTAACGCTACTTACTTGGTTCACCTGAGCAACCTGCCGTTTCTCCCGCTTGGTAGGCTCATCCTGCGTTACGTTCGTAATAGCAATAAGCGAATTTCTGGAGTCGATTGCAAATAGGCGAACAAGCGGCTTTAATTCTAGAATAAACGAGC